TCTGTAAACAAAGTATGGAGACTGAATCATGATATTCCTAGACCATGCAATGTTATTACAGCCGCTCTTTGCCCTCATTAGAAACTTCGCTGTGAAGCACGCTTTTCATTGGCACCCAAATGAAGTTCCAAACACCAGTCTCGCTGTCTGCTATAGTCGAGAGTACGGTCAGACATTTCTACTTGTCCTTAATTTTGTTCCAAATCGAGTCAACAGGAGGGCACTATAATGAACGGGGATTACGCCAATGTGGTACTGTTACGTTCGGTTACTGGAGGAGCTACCCTTGAGGACCATTTTCTATGTTTGTTGCCCGAGATCAAATCTACGTACACATATAAGTTAGGCATAGTAAAATCTCTTGATACGCAATTTTATTTTGGTATAACTACAGTGGTTACTATGGAAACGGCCGCCATCTTGAAAATAAACAATGAATTTCAAATCCCTAAGGCTTTCTTATTTACAGACCACATTTGACAAAACTTGGTGAGAGTATACCTGAACCAGACACTATCAGAGTAATAGCACGTTTTTTTTTCAATCAGTGCAAAAGAAAAAAAAAAGAGAATTTTCCCAAGTATAAAAAACCTTTTTCTAAATTTAGGTTGCGTAATCGCTTGCCAATGGAAAAGTATTATTTTTTTCGCAAATATCTCTCTGTTACATTGATGGCAGCCTTACCATCTATGTTTCCTGAAAGTTTCATGTCAAAAAGATGAAAACTAAGGAAGGAATAGAGAAAAAACTGCACAAAATTACATTTTGCGAAAACCTACAATAATTGTGAAAATTCACTATATTAATCTATCCTCATGTTTTTAAAGGCAATTTACCTGGAGAATAAAGTCTTTCTCAACTGTATCCATGCTATTTTTAGACAAAAAACTAGTTGATCTTCAAAAATCAGCCAACTTAAAATGTGCATGGCCTGACCCAAAATCTGCAAAATCAAGTGTCGCTCCTTTTTCTCGAATGAAATCATCATCTCCTCTAAAGTAAAGAGTCATTACACGTTACTCAAGTCAGGTTCAACTCAACTGGCCTCTTCCAACTGAATTACCACAACTAACCTTTCGGAATTATTATAATTTTTTCCGTCCAAACATTGGAGCAGCACACCTGAAAAACACAGTATGTGGACTGTGGACACTGGCCAATGGACACAAAGTAATGTATGGATTCTATAAATGACACAGCTAAACAGGAGAAACCACTTAGATCTAAATCTAGATCAGCTTGAATAGATGATCATCAACAAAATATTCCCCCTCTTTGAAATTTCCTTGTCCAATTACCCCCCCCCCCCCCCCAAACTGTTTAGCTTCTTTGCGTCGTCTTTCGAATTTTTGGTTACTTCAATTCTATCACTACATATTATATTAAAAAATCAACCATAGAAATAGAAGTAGATTCATTGAAACATATGATATTACACATTATACAAGTATGACACACTTGGTTAAGTACTTTTCTGGAAAAAATGAGTTACTTGCTGTGTTATTCTCTTATTCTTACCTGCCCTGAAAAAAGCAAGACCTGATGAACAAAACTAACTACATAATATTTGGAATCAGCACATCAGTTTCCAAGTTGCTTAACAACTTTCGTTTCTAAGAAAAATATTTTCATCGTTGACCAATGTAATGCAATGTGCTAGGGAACAACTCCTTGCGTTCCGTTTTTTTTCGTTATCCTACTTGTGAAATTGCCAATTGTAATTACAAAGTGGAAATTTCACTCATAGGATAAATCATGAGTTCCTTTCCTAATTCATAATAAATTCTTCATATACATACTTTGTACACTGTATGCCTGTGAGTGAGAACATACTTAAGGGTAAGCCAGTCAGTTTGTGGTCAGTATGGAGTAAATCACTCTGTGTCACGTTGGTCTGGGTTTGTTTTCTCTGCTGTGATCGTCCCTGTATTATCTTTCTTGTTACGAAGAGTACAACTGGTTCTCTATTTCATCTCATACTTGTGTACCAAGTCGGAGGCACAAACGGCGGGAAGCTGGAACAAGAAAACGGTGTTCACGTGACCACAGCAGTAGCAGTTGGGGCGGTCGTTGCAGCGTTTGTCCTGGGTTTTATTACTGCAGTGGCTGTGTACTGTTTGTTGTCTAGGAAAGGTAAGAGATTGTTTGTAACAGAGGTATGCGGGGTTTTGTGTCTTAAGTTATATATTATTTTCTGTGTCACATTCCTTGAAACCGTTCATCAGTACGCTATCTGTAAAACAATATAATTTATATCCAGGTTTCCATTATGAAATAGGACCTTTTAGTCTGCTTACAAGTACATACTTGTTTATTGCACACCATGCTGAACAGTGTAGGAACCACAATTAATGTAGCTGATTGTCACTTTGGAGGTTTTTGTGTATGATGCGCTGCCTGTCAAGAGGGAATGTATTTAGATTTTGTTTTCTGTCACTGTGCTCAATTAATTTTTAAGGGGAGGGGTTGTTTGTTTCTTTTTTGTTGTTGTAACATTGGA